CAGAGATTTGCATGCCTCTGACTCCTGAGTGCTGAGAACAAAGGCAAGTGTCACAACGGCTGGGCTGTTTGCATTGACTTAATTCTGTCATTTCATAGTAAAAAATAAACAATTACCTGCAAGGCTATTAATTCATGCATTAAAAGACATGAACATACAGTATCCACATATCAAAAGGCTAAGGCTAAAGGGTTGCTAAAGTAGCCTGGACAGCAAAGTGAGACCCTCATCAAAACAGTAAAGAAAACAATAAACCATTGCTAATATTAATTTTTAGGGTTGGGATGTAATTCAATGATAAAATACTTACCTAATATGCTTGAAACTCTGGGCCTCTCAAGTACCACTTCAGTCCTGTATACAGTTAATATTTTTAAGTTCTTACAGTGGCTGGCATAGTTTGTCTCTGGGTTGTGTCATGTGTCCCTCAGACCCCACCCCAGTTTCTCTCAGTGCTGTGATTGAAAGTATATACCAATACTCCAAGCTTATACAATGCTGGAGTATTGTATAAATAAAATAAATTAGTATTCTAGAGACTAATGAAGGAGGATCTTGAGTTCTAGGCTAGCCTGGGCAACATAGTGAGTGCCTATCTCAAAAGACAGTAACAATTTTTAAAAGATTTTAATTTAGTCAGCTAGGCATGGGGCATACACCTTAATCCTGGCACTTGGGAGACAGAGGCTGGTGGATATCTGAGTTTGAGGTCAGCCTTGTCTACAGATTGAATTCTAGGATGGCCAGGGTTACACAGAAAAACCCTGTCTAGGAGGGAAAAAAAATCAATATAACTTGAGCACCGACTATATGTTAGGTAGAGATCTGGTTGTTAAGTACATGGTTGTCAATAAAACAAAAGATAGCCTCTGCTCACTTTCAGAGGGATTCTAGGCTTAATGATGTCTTAGTTATAAAATTTTAGAGCTGAAATGGTTTTGGGTTATCTTTTTCTTTTTAAGATTTATTTATTTTATGTATATGAGTACATTGCTGCTGACACACCAGATCCCATTACAGATGGTTATGTGTCAACACGTGGTTGCTGGAAATCAAACTCAGAACTTCTAGGAAGTGCAATCAGTGCTCTTAGCTGCTGAAGCATCTCTCCGACCCAAGATTTGGGTTATTTAATCACATAATCTCATTTCTAGATGAGATGAGTAAAATCCAGTCAGTGAAACTGTATGCATCCACACTTGTGTGTCCACACGCAAGCAAATAAACACCCCCCCACACACACCACAAACACACACACACACACACACCACACACACACCACACACACACACACACCACACACACACACCACAAACACACACACCACACACACACACACCACAAACACACACACCACACACACACCCCACACACACACACCACAAACACACACACCACACACACACACCACACACACACACCACACACACACACACCACACACACATACACACAAACACACACACACACAAATGAAAAAAATATGATTTTAGGCATGCATGTTAGTGGATTCCTGTAATCTTAGTATTTAGGAAATGTAGTCAGGAAGAGTTCAAGACCACCCTCAGCTTCACAGCAAGCTCAAGGCTAGCCTGGGCTAAATGAGACCCTTCCCCCACACCTAAAGAAAATAATTCTGGTTTTTAGCAGAAATCATAACAACAAAACAAACGATAGCAATATTTTCTGTGTGTGTTTACTGTGTGGGGACGTGTGTGGGGGTGTGTAGGTTTGTGTGGGTGAACACATAGAGGATAGAGTGCCAGGTGGCCTCCTCAATCATTTCTGTAGTATGATCTATTTTGTGTGCTTGGACCTTTAAAGGACCATACCCATTTCACTGTCAATTGCCTCTTGGAATTCTGGGACAGGAGGCTGAGAGCAGGCAGTAGGATTGGGGAGTAGCAGGGAGTAGTATCCAGGAAACAGAAGAGTAGGGTCAGAGAGTAAAAGAGAAGACAGTTGTTGACAGTTGATCCAGGAGAAGCTGAGCTGAGCCAGAGAAGATATTGTTCGGAGACAGGAGAAGAACCCATGAAGAACCCACACAAAGTAGCTAAAAAAAAAGAAAGAAAAAAATAAAGACTAAAAGCTATGCCTCTCTCTCTCTCTCTCTCTCTCTCTCTCTCTCTCTCTCTCTCTCTCTGTGTGTGTGTGTGTGTGTGTTATATACATGTATACACACATGCTGGCCTGGTAGGCACTTTAAGCCTACAGAGGTTGACATTAAAGGAGGTTGCACTGAAAGTATGAGAACCTGAGTTCATGTACCCGACATCAGAAGCCAGACAAGCCACTGTAGTCTGGTGAGATTGTTCAGTGGTTAAAGGAACTTGCCAGTATTCTTGATAAACTAAGTTGGAAGATATTATCATTATTATTAATTTTATTATAGACAAGGTCCCACCATGTAGCTCTGGCTGTCCTGGAACTCAGTATTATAGACCAAGCTGGCTTTGAACTCATTGAGATCCACTTGCCTCTCTGTCTTCTAAGTTCTGACATTAAAGCCCTGTGTCCCCATGCCCAACATCCACTTTACTTTTTGACTTTTATTCAGAACTTGGGACTTGTTGTTTTGGTGAAAATGGCAGGCTAGCAGGCCTGGGATCTGGCAGTCACAACCCCAAACCCTGAGGTTACAGATCCATGCTGCCATGCCAGGCTTTTATGTGGGTAAACTGAGGACCTCATGCATAGCAAGGACTTTACACTCTGAACCTTCTCACAAGTCCTCTATTTTGGTTTTGTTTTGGTTTCTGAGACAGGGTCTTACTCTGTAGCCTTGGTTAGCCTGGAATTCACCATACAGACGGGGCTGGCCTCTGCCTCCGTACTGCTGAGATTAAAGATGTGCACCACCACATCCAAGCTAAAACGTGTGTGTGTGTGTGCTTGTGGAAATCACAGAAGTTGGAGGAGTTGGTTCTCTCCTTCCACAAATGTCTCAGAGATCAAACTTAGGTTATCAGGAATACTGGCAAGTTCCTTTAACCACTGAGTGACTACAGGGGCTTGTCTGGCTTCTGATGTTGGTGATGGGTATATGAACTCAGGTTCTCATGCTTCCAGTACAACAGCCATCACCCCAGGCCAGTGTAGTCTCCTTAAAAAAAAAAAAAAATATATATATATATATATAATGTTTTGCTTGCTTGCATGTATGTCTGAGCACCACTATGGTGCCTGGTGCCCCTGCTGGCCAAATGTGTGTCAGCTCCTGGGAGTTAAGAGTTAACATTTGTCAGCAGCCATGTGGGTACTGGGGATTGAATCCTGGTTCTCTTTAGAACAGCCAGTGTTCCTAGCCACTGAACCATTTCTCCAGCCCCTTAATGTATTTTTTTTTTTTCCGAGACAGAAATTCTCTGTGTAGCCCTGGCTGTCCTGGAACTCACTCTATAGACCAGGCTGGCCTCGAACTCAGAAATCCGCCTGCCTCTGCCTCCCAAGTGCTGGGATTAAAGGCGTGCGCCACCACTGCCCGGCATGTACTATTTTTCTAGATTTGTTTTTTGTTCCCTTCTGTATGTGTGGAGGGCAACTTCAGGTGTCATTTTCAGAAAATCCACCTTGAGACAAGGTGACAAGGTCTTACTAGCCAGAATTTGACAATTAGACTAGTGAGCCCCAGAAGTCCTTGCTTCCACTTCCCAGCCATGAGACAAACGAACCATACCAGCCTTTTTTTTTAAATAGAGCTATTCCTAGCTCTCATCAATATAATCTTGATGACCAAGCATATACATAAAGAAGAGACATTTCAATTGGCTGGCACTAATTGAATGAACAGAAAAACTAGAATATTTTAAATATCTTATACTTAGTTACAACATAATGCAACTAATTTGTGTGTGTGTGTATGTGTGTGTGACAGGGATGTCTTAGAATTCACTATGTAGACTAATTGATCTCAAAATCCCCACCTACTTCTGCTTCCTACATGCTTGGATTAAAGGCCTGTGCACCACTTGTGGCCCAAATGCAACTCAAATTTTTGATAATTTGGACAGGGTAGGGGCATGAACTTGTTTCAAAAGAGAAAGAAAACATAAGGCCAAACATATCTGCAGTAAAGAATGAAACTTAAAATGCAAGTGGACAGTTGACACAGATCAGTTGTAGCTTTTTTATTTTGTGGTTTTAAAGGTCACACATTTTCTCCCACACTCTTAATAACTTGGAATTTACATTAGCTCTTTGTAGATTTATAGAGGGTTTTAACTGGTAAAGTCTAACTTAATCCATGAAAGCTCATTAATATAAGCAGTCATTCATTCAATGAATGAAGGTTTTGGGAAGGATTATTTGATATGGAATTCCAAGTAGTAATAAAAGAAGCCGATTCATAATGTTGCTGCTGCTTGGCTTGACAATCTTATAGCTCAGTTTTTGTTCATCGCCCTTGTTTTTGTTTGTTTCAGTATCTGCAGAATCTTAGCATTTACTGCCTTGCACCACTTTTCAGTATCACAGTCTCGAAGATTCTGCAGTATGTCAGAGCCTAGTCAGTTACGTGCCCAGAAATCTGAAACAGAAGCAAGGGCTATAGCCCTTTCCACCAAAGGAGTTTATAATGAGTGATAGTACTCAACATAATCCAGTGCGGATCTTCCCAGCTTCAGTACTGCCCTCGAGATTTACTGAGAGTACGTCCCCAAAGGCGTACGCATTTTAACCGCCCCCAAAACGAGCTAAACAAGAATTCATGCCATTCACCTCGGCTCCTAGAGCCTTAAGATTTACCCAGAGAGCTTTGTGTTGAATCTAGAGCAAAAGAGCATTTTCATACCCCACTTAAAAAGCTTTGAGGAACATTTTCCTCTTACAACGATTTCTTGAGATATTTACAGTGGCCGGGAGAACTCACAGTTCCTTGTACACAACCTGCGGTGCAGGTGACTCCAACCCCTGCAAGAACGGAGACAAAAGAACTACAGAGAGGAGGATTCTGGGGGAAGGAAATGACGTCAGGAGCAAAGCATGCTGGGCTCAGGCGGGCCGACTCAAGACGGCTTGGTAGCGCGTGAGCAATACTTTAAGGTAGTTAGGCGTCTCTGCAGCGTTTCCCTGGATTGCTCACAGCTCTGGGTGTGGCAGCCTCAGGGCAGGAGTCCTCGAGCTCTAGAACTTCGCTGGCGCGTTCTCAGCGAAAATTGGCGCAAACCCCGCGGAGAATCATCTGGAAAGAGTAGGTGGGAATCCGAGAACTCCGCAGCAGTTATGTCTATAAGGGGTTTAGGGCGAAATCCTTTTATCTGAGGAAAGCGGAGCCGAAGAGTTTGAGTATCATCTATGGGCCAGAGTTCAAAGCCAGGTTGAAAGCGGTATCCAGAATTGGGAGCCGAGGGTGGAAATAGACATGCCACAGCAGTTTCAGAATTGCACCTGCGGCCATTCGCTATTACCATAGCTCAATCTGAATTATAAATAACCCCCTCCCGGATGTAGTAAACAAAACATTCTCAAGAATTCTCCAGACATAGTATCAGTTTCTTATACTCCAAATGGGCTTTTTGCTTCTTGTTCCTTTTGAGGCCTGAGACGGCACACTATGTTACCAGGCTGGTCTCAGTGGTACTAGTAGGTAGGACTGTAGGTGTGAGTAAGACTGGCTTAATGTATCAGTGCTTACTTGCATTAAGAAACTTGTTAATTTCAGGCAAATTACAGACTTTTCGCTGAATGGCGATTAGGGGTTAATGTCGGGAGCCAAACCCAGGAAACTACCTGCTGTACTACTCAGGAAGTTACCTGCTGTTCTAGAAAGCCTAGTCAGTGCAAGGTTAAGAAAGGACGTTCACAGGTCTCTGGCCCCAGGAACGTAAAGAACGTCTGGCATTTCCTGGGAGCTGGTTATTACAGTGGGATGGTCTAGGGCAATAAGCATTCAATAGTGGAATAGCCGTAAGCAATGACCCTCACCCAAACTTCCTGGTTTGCTGTGTCTTTATAACCTGCACCCGAAATTAAAGTTTCAGAGCTTGATCAGAACCTCAGACTTGCTCTCATTCCTTGTGTCTCTTGTCCCTTCATTCTTTCGCCCCCTTCCCTAGGGTCTCTGCAGGCCGGGGCAGGTTAAGACATTTGCTTGTGTGGAATATACATAGTGATTAACCCAAATTGGTAATGGTTCTAGATCTAGCCAGCTGGTAACCATGAGCGAATGGATGAAGAAAAGCCCCCTAGAATGGGAAGATTACGTTTATAAAGAAGTAAGAGTGATAGCCAGTGAGAAGGAGTATAAAGGATGGCTTCTAACTACAGACCCAGTCTCCGCCAAGTGAGTATACTTTCCTGAAATGACAACCGTATGTACTGGCCTGGATAGCCAAGATAAGAAGGCAGACCAATGAAAGGCTGGTTATTCACACATAAGAATTGCTCTTGAGCCTCACTGCTGTTTTTACTGTGGAACACTATAGCAAACCAGACACAGTTATAGGAATAGGAAATAGAAATTCTCCCCTCTTCAATTATTCTTTCAGAGGGTCTCCTGTAGCCCAGGCTGACCTGTCTGACTATATATTCAAAGTTGGCATTAAGCTTCTGGTTCATCGGCCGGGCAGTGGTGGCGCATGCCTTTAATCCCAGCACTTGGGAGGCAGAGGCAGGCAGATTTCTGAGTTCGAGGCCAGCCTGATGTACAGAGTGAGTTCCAGGACAGCCCAGGCTATAAAGAGAAACCCTGTCTTGAAAAACCAAAAACCAAAAAAAAAGCTTCTGGTTCATCTGCTTCTTCCTGAATGCTAGGACACCACACGCAACTTTTTTTTTTTTTTTTAATTAAATAAGTCTCATAGAACTCAGACTGGCCTCAAGTTCATTCTGTAGCTAAGGATAAACACCTACTCCTGCTCCTTCTATCTCCACCATATCCAATTGTGAGAACTTGTCTCAGACAGTAAGAAAAGGGCTAAAGATACATAGATGTCAAGGGGAGACAATGCCCACACTGTTTATTGGCAAATTCTATACTTTATTGAAGTACTAAGCATTTGTAATCTTACTACATTTTTATAGCACTATGGAAGATTATGTAATAGCCCCTCTCCCAGTCTCTGCACTTAGCTTGAAATGGCCTCAGACTCACGATCCTCCTACCTTAGCCTCATAGGCACTGTGATGACAGGCATGAGCCATCACACCATGCTGAAGCTTGTATAATTTTGATATCAAAAGTTGAAGACTGGATTTAAAAAAGAAAGCTATTAAACTAATTCCATTTATGATTACAAATACTCAGATCTTCAATAAAATACATAGTTTCCTACAAGTAGACCTTATTTTCAAAATCCAAAAAAGAATTTCACTTCTGCGCTACTCTTCTCAAAAGCCTAATAATTCTTGGCCTGTTTATGAGAAAGCTCCACATGAACCAAAAGTTAAGACATTCTACCTAACACCTCACTACTACTTTTCAAAACTCTCAAGATTGTAGGAAGTAGGATCTTGGTTGAATCCTAGAACAGAAAAAAGGCCGTCAGTGGGAAACTCATAAAGCTAAATAAATAACATCTGTGGCTTGGTTAATGCGAACTCTTAGTTTGGACAAAAATACCATCAGTATGTGCGATGTTAACTTTCGGGGAAGCGTAGTGATGGGTGGGTACTCTGTAGTGACTATAACTGTCCTATTAGAAATCATCCACATTTAAGACAGATGGCAAGTGATATGAAAGGAGCGGGGGCCAAGCTTTTAATCCCAGCATGCAGGAGGCAGAGGCAGGACTATCTCTGTCCTTTTAGACTATCCTGGTCTACATATGGAGTTTCAAGCCAGGCAGAGCTACACAGTGTCTCAAAAGAAGGAAAGAAAGAAAACCAAAATGGTAGGGTTCTCACCAAGTTGCCCAGACAGGCCTTGAGTTTGTGATCCTCCTGCTTCAGCCTTAAGACTTGCTGGGATTACAGCCTTTGCCGCTAAGCCTGTCATGGAAGTTTTCCAAATTTCAGAAAAAATTGCCATAAGATTGTTCACAGTATTTTTAAATGGTGCTGCTATATTCCTAGTATTGTGTCCCTTCTATCTTGCCTGAGGTTTGTGAGTTTTGTTTCTTTTTTTTCTCAAAGAACAACCTTGGGCTGAGTGTTGTAACAGACACCTTTAGTCCCACTACTCGGGATGTAGAGGCAGGTGGATCTCTGTGAGTTTTAGGCCAGCCTGGTTTACAGAATGAGTTTCACGACAGCCAGAGCTATACAGAGAAACCCTGTCTTGAAAAACAACAAAAAAAAAGAACAGCCGGGCGGTGGTGGCGCACGCCTTTAATCCCAGCATTTGGGAGGCAGAGGCAGGCGGATTTCTGAGTTCGAGGCCAGCCTGGTCTACAGAGTGAGTTCCAGGACAGCCAGGACTACACAGAGAAACCCTGTCTCGAAAAACAAAAACAAAAAAAAAAAAAAAAAAAAAGAACAGCTTTGGGTTTGATGATCTTCTGAATTTTACTTTTTTTTTAAGTTTTAATTTTTTAATTTCTTTACTTTTGTGTTTTGTTGTTTTCTTTGGTCTACTTTGGTGTATTTAGCTTTAAAGTTTATTTTTTAATTGGCTTATGTGTATGTGGTATATGCACTTGTTTATTTTTTTAACTGGTTTATGTCTGTGTGGTATATCACATGTATATGTGCATATCCATGCGAGGTATGTCCAGTTAAGCATGCACATATATGCATGAAGCCTGAGACCGATGTCAGGCGGCTTCCTTAGTCACTCTCCACCTTGTATAATGAAGCAGGGTTTCTCACTTGAACCCAGAGCTTGCCAGTATGCCTAGTCTAACCAGCCACCTTGCTCTAAGGATCTTCTGTCTGCTTTCTACATCCTGGAATTCCAAGTGGCCTGCTACTCCAAACGTGATAGGGATCGAGGTTCACTCTTTAATACAGTGCTTTGTTGAGCTCTTTTGAAGCCCTGTTTTTGTTTTTTAATCCTACAATTAAATATATACTTTGTCTTATATGTATTTAAGGCATTTATGACTTTTTTGTTTTTAATCTTTGGAGCTGGAGAGCAAACCCAGTTCCATGCTAAGCATGCACTCTATCATTGAACTACATTTCAACCCCAGCGCGTCTGCTCTTGAGGCACTACGTTAGCTGTGTCCTATAATGCTTAGCTAGGCAAAATGGTAGATGTTTAGGATCTCAGTGAATGCTTGTGGAACAAATAAAAGCATTTGGTGATGAGATGACTAGTCTTCCCGAGGGATAGTTGTTCCCTCTTGTTGAAGGGACCAGAGTTGTTGATGATGCTCTTATTCCGTTTCTTCTTCCTAGTTCTTAAGATTTTTCTTTTACAAATCTGCTCTGAACTTACTTTGTCTTTAAAGCATTGTCCTCGTGAACTTCCTTGAAGATGGCAGACTGTCTGTGACTGGAATTATGGGACATTCTGTGCAGACTGTGGAAACTGTGAGTGCAGGGGACCACAGAGTGAGAGAGAAGCTGATGCATTTATTCACATCTGGAGATTGTGAAGGATACAGCCCTGAGGATCTGGAAAGGAAGAAGACTAGTATAAAGAAATGGCTTGAGAAGAACCACATCCCTGTCACTGAGCAGGGAGATGCACAAAGGACTCTCTGTGTGGCTGGGGTTCTGACTATAGACCCACCATATGCTCCAGAAAATTGCAGCAGCTCTAATGAGATCATTCTGTCCCGAATTCAGGATCTTATTCAAGGACATCTTTCAGCTTCCCAGTGAGAGGCCAAGCACTATGCACACGCTGACTTCACTGGTTTTGTATTAAATTCTTCAAATGTAAGTTGATTCTATTACAAGACTTCACATGAGGGTTATATGCGTGTGTGCATATTTCCAGGTCTGTTCAGGTCAGATCAGATGAGCAGATCACGAATGCTGGGTCTTTGGGATGTGAGGACACAAGAGCGGCAGTCCTTGCACTGAAGACAGCACAGGGAAGTCAGAGTTGGAAGGAGCTTTTCTTGTGTGTGATTTAAGATAAGTTACCCTTTTTGTGAGACAAGAATGTGTTTTGAATGGGTGTAACAATGTGAAATAAATTTATAAATTTCAATATAAGATATTAGAGTAAAATCAGTCTCAGGTTCTTTGGACTAATCATATTTCTGTTCTTTTGTTTTGTTTTTGTTGTTTTTTTTTTCGAGACAGGGTCTCTCTGTATAGTTCTGGCTGTCCTGGAACTCACTCTGTAGACCAGGCTGGCCTTGAACTCAGAAATCCGCCTGCCTCTGCCTCCCAAGTGCTGGGACTAAAGGCGTGCGACACCACTGCCCAGCTCATATTTCTGTTCTTAAAATGTTGGTAATCTGGGTGGTGGTGGTGCAGTCCTTTAATCCCAGCACTTGGGAGGTAGAGGCAGGCAAATCTCTGAGTTTAAAGCCAACATTGTCTACAGAGCAAGTTCCAGAACAGCCAAAGCAACACAGAGAAACCCTGTCTTGAAAAAAAAAAACAAAACAAAAACAACAAAAGAAGTTGGTCTTTGAGGTTGACTCAACAACAGCTTTTCAATTTGAGTAAACTGTAGTTTGGCTTTGGCTTCTGCACCCCTCGGTTCTTGTGATGGGAACTTCTAACTCTAAGAGATGAGACTTAGGACTGGACAGATGACTCAGCAGTTAGGAGTGCTGGCTGTTGTTCCAAAGGACCTAGGTTCAATTCCCAGCACCCACATGATAGCTCACAACTGTCTGTAACTTCAGTTCCAGGCCATCTGATATGGTCCTACAGACATGCATGCAGGAAAAACACCAATGCACACAAAATAAAAACAAATCATTAATTAAAAGAGAGAGGCTGATAGAGACAAGACATGGGGGGTCTTTAGGTCATTGAAGGTATGCCCTAAGGAAGTGTTATGAACAGATATCATAACCATGGCAACTCTTATAAAGGAAGATGTTTAATTGAGACTGGCTTATAGTTTCAGAGGTTTAGTCCATTATGGTCATATTGGGAAACATGACTGTAACAGACATGACACTGGAGAAGGAGCTGAGAGTTCTACATCTTGATCTACAGGCAGCAAGGGGAGACGTTTGCCACACTGAGCATAATGTGAACATAGAACATGGGAGCCCGATCTCCCAGTGACATATTTCCTTCAATAAGGTGTCACCTGCTCCAGCAAGGCCACACCTACTAATGCCACTCCTAGACTTTTAAACACATGAGTCTATGGGAACCATTTCTATTCAGACCGCCACAGGAAAGATTTCCTGTTTGATAGTGTAAGCTCTTATACTACTATGATGTATATTTTAGGAAAGAAAAAGCTTTTTGTGAACATGCTCCAGCCCTGACCAAAATGGTACTTACTGTTCTATGTAGGACCGTGATAGGATGGCTGGTTTTGGTAGAAGCGCTGGCTGCAAATAGCCCAGAGACCCAACAGGTGTCCATTGCCTGTGAAGGACAGGCATTTATTCTGCTGTGCTCCCAGAATCCAGGCTCCTGACCCGTGTTGTGATCTCCATTTGATCTGCACCTTGTGGTCACGTTTGGCTAGAGAGGGCGTGACTACAGGCTTCAGCCTCGAGAGATTTCCATATTCATGAGTTACCTAGAGGGTGGGGCCATAGCTAAATTAAGTTATTTCTTTTCCCAGCCCCTCTTCTTTTTCCCCTCCCTATTTAAGCCAGCCACCCCCTGGCTTAAACTGGGGGGTGCAGACCATCTATCACATGCCATGAACAATAAAACTCTTGGAACCCACGGACTTCTCGTATTATTGGGGCCTGCTGTTGCCAAAGCTTCCAGCCCTTGGAACCCCCTTGGACTTTCTCGAGTTGTTGGGACCCGCCTTTGTGGAAAGCCCCCTGGACTTCTGCCGCGCACCTCTCATGGTTCTATACATACGGCATCGAGTTAACAGTTTCTCTTCATGAATAGCCTGTTTCAGGAAGTTAGTTCATTTTAGTGACTCAAAGTTGACTAAAAATAGAGTATATTAAAGTTGAAGATTTTAGCTGTTGGTAAATTTATTTATTTATTTATTTTAATTTTTTTTGAGACAGGATCTCATTATGTAGCTTAGGCTATCCTGGAGCTCAGGCTGGTCTTACCAAGACCCACCTACTTCTGCTTCCTGAGTGCTGGGATTTAAAGGCATGCACCACCATGCCCTCCTTTGCTTGAGGGGGAAAAAAGATTTATTTTATATATATATATATATATATATGTATTATATATGTATATTGTCTGTGAATTTATACCATGTGTGCACATACCAAGAATGAATGTCAGTCCCACTTGCACTGGGGTTGCAGGTGGTTGTGAGCTGCTCACTGTCAATGCTGGTTCCTGAATTGGGGTCCTCTGCAAGAGCAGTACTCTTAACCACTGAACAGTCTCTCTAGCCCTGTATCTTCTTTTGCAACCAAAGCAGCTCTAGAACTCAGTGATCCTGTTGCTTCAGCCTCAAACATGTACCGTTACCCAGTCAAGAATCCATTTCTAACAGCCCTAGGTGTGCAGACTCCACCCACTCCAACAGGGTCTCTTTGTGTAGCCCGGGCTGTCCTGGAACTTGCTCTGTAGACCAGCCTGGCCTCAAACTCAGAGACCCATCTGTCTCCTGAGCACTGGGATTAAAGGCATTAGCCACTGCCATACAGTTGTGTGTGTGTGTGAGTGTGTGTGTGTGTTTGGGTGCGAGAGTGTTTGAGATAGGTGTTTACTCTATAACCCTGGCTGATTTTGACCTTCCTTTGACCTCGAAGTCCCCTGCCTCAGCCCTCTGAGTGCTGGGATTACACTTGTGGGTCACTACATTTAGCTCTCCTTCACAGCTGTAAGCACCATGATTCTAAAAGTAAAGTTCAGTGTCTAAGACTCTTTAGAAATTTAATAGGGGAAACAGAATACAAAATAGCTGACGTGCTTGTGGAAATGGTTCTGATAGGTGACACCCTTGAAAAGGAATAAGCCACATAGGAAATTAGACACAACCTCACTCAGGGCTTGGCCTTGGCTCAGGGACAGATCCTGGGGCATCAGTATTGGTAGATAGATTTGCTGTCAAGGTGTTCTGTTGGAAACATGCTGTTTCTTGGCAACTGAACCCTTTGACTGTTTAAACAATTTGCCCACAAAAAAACCCCGAATGTTGGAGAGGGGAAGTGATCCTCTCTGCCATGGAAACTGGCTGTGAAGGGAGTTTCTGCCACTGCCTCAGCTAAGATGGGCCCAGAGAGGTTATCTTACCTGTTCCCGACCCTCCCTCAGGGGCAATGGTTGGAGTTCTGCAGAGGCAGCCTTTCCCAAAGCTGGTTCTGTTTACTGTTGCTTCTGGATGGCAGCCAGGGCTGTCTTTGAATGTGGCATCAGGAATACTTTAGAAAAAAACAAGACTTGGGCTGGAGAGATGACTCAGTGGGAAGAGCACACACTGCTCTTCCTGAGGACCCGAGTTTGATTCCCAGCACCCACATCATTTGACACACAGCCAAGTGTAACTAGTTCCTGGGATATTTGATACTGGCCTGTGTAGGCACCTGGTCTAACATGCACACATCATATATACATACTATGTATATATGTATATATGTATGTATATATGTCTCACTATGTAGCTCAAGCTATGGTGGAACTCACTATGTAGACCAGGCTGGCCTCCAACTCACAGGGATCAGCTTGCCTCTGTCTCCCAAGTGCTGGGATTAAAGGCCAGCCTTTGAGATTTTTAAAAATTGCTTTAGAGGCAAAGTTTGTAGTAACTTCTTTTCCCATACAGTGTTTATCTGATTTCCTAAACATCTCTGTAGTTTCTTAGAGACATTGTACCTGAAACCAATTTTTTTTCCCCAAGTTTTTTGAATTATTGGAGCTGACGAGGCGGCTCAGCAAGTAAGGGGGCATGCTAGTAACTAAGCCTGAGAGCCTGAGTTCCACAGTGTGGAAGCAAGAGGTGGTTTCCTGCAAGCACTCCATCCCCAGTGGATACATGTAAAAGTAAAATTGTTTTTTTTTAAAGATTTATTTATTTAATTATATATGAGTACACTGTAGCTGTCTTCAGACACACCAGAAGAGGGCATCAGATCTCATTACACATGGTTGTGAGCCACCATGTGGGTGCTGGGATTTGAACTCAGGACCTCTGGAAGTGCAGTCAGTGCTCTTAACCACTGAGCCATCTCTCCAGCCCAAAAGTAAAATTGTTAATGAGAACTTAAAGCCCTCACAGTCAACTGTTAACTTCAAGAGTATCGATGGAAATGTATGATATTTGAAAGAGATTGTGGAGTGCTAGTTTGTGCTAAGGATTACTATCTAATTCATGTTTATAAGAGGAGGAATGGTCAAGCTTCAGTATGACTGCTCCATTTTATACTCCATGAGCGTCATGTGACGGCTTTAAAGTCTCCACATCCTTCCCAGCATTTGGTTTGTTGTTTTTTGTTGTTGTTTTTTTCTTTGAGCCAGTTTCTCTATGTAGCACTGGCTGGCCTCGAACTCATTCTATAGTCCTGGCTTTGAACTCAGAGCTCCGCCTGCCTCTGCCTCCAGAGTGCTGGGATTAAAGGGTGTGCCTGGCCATCCAGCAGTTGTTAAAGTACGCCCATGTAGAAGTCTTGAGGACTACAGAGCTTTGTAGTTTTCTGCGTACAAGTCTTTCTCTTTTCTTTTTTCTCTTTGTTTTGTTTTTTGTTTTGTTTCGAGACAAGGTTTCTCTGTATAGCCCGGGCTGTCCTGGAACTCACTCTGTAGACAGGCTGGCCTCGAACTCAGAAATCCACCTGCCTCTGCCTCCCAAGTGCTGGGATTAAAGGCGT